GTGCAGTGGGGTCAGAGCTCACAGGCACCGGGTAGACGTGCTGCAAACCCTCCTGCCACCCCCAAGGCACCCAAACCCTCGGGCAAGCTCTGAGCCCCTCTGCCCAGCTTCCCACTGCTGCCACGGGTCAGCAACGGACACCCCGGGGAGGAAAGAGTCCACCCCATTATCCGAGCCCCAGATCGCTGGAGGATGACAGCAATCTCTGGAGATAAGAAAGAAAAATCTACCCTGCTAACAGCAGAGGGGGAGGGAAAGAGAAACCACTTCCACTGAGAGACTCAAGCGAGCCCTTCTGCACTGCAAGGGGACACTGATGGGCCTGCACACAGAGTGGTCCTTGCTGAGCCCGACAGCTGTGGCCTCAGCAGGTCCAGATTGCCTCCAAAAATCTCCTCCAAAACAGATCTCCACCCCCAGCCCCTCCCCTGAGCCGCAGGTATCCAGCGCAGGAAAGAGCAGGATTAGGGGAGCCAGCTCAGGTGACAGGCTTTAAAACCAGCCTGGGAAGGGGCACATCTTCCCATTTTCCCTGTCAGCTCTGTTTGCACTCCGTTGTGCAGGACACAGACCATCTGTGCAGCACAGGGCCCAGACCCACTTCCCCTTTCTATTTGTACCTGCTCCTGATGCCAAGGACAGGGCTCCCACTGCCCCGGGGCTCCAGCACCAGGAACTGCCTTATCACCACGAGGCACACAAAAAAAACCTACCAAATCATGTTTCCAATTTCTGCAGCATTATATAATTAGCATCATTTGTGTTGCAAAAGTAATTGCAGTAACATTTTTAATTAGTCTATTTGAACACTAACATTTCTCCAGTGCGCATAATATGTTGACACGAAATTACTGGGTTTGAGGCAACTCTGAATGATTGGAGTTTGTTTTGCTTTTGTTTCTTACTTGCTTAATGCAGTCAATAAGAGCCGGCAGTGCACGGTGAGGAGCCCAGCCCGCAGCACAGAGCGAAGTGTGATGGGTTTCACTTCCGTCTGGAGGGCAGAGAGGGGGGAGGAAGGGTGGGTTGTGAAGGCTGAGAGCAAGAGAGAAACACTTGCTGGAAAGGTAAGGCCTGGGTGACATTCTCCAGCTGCTCAGTTTTGGTCTCAGATGTTGAATCGTGAAAGCACAAAACAAGACGAGGGCGCTGGCCTTGGAGGACGGGGAGAGGAAAAGCTGGAGGGAGGAATTCTATTTGGTATGAAGTTTAGGAAGATTTAATCTGAAGAGTGTCTTGGCTTACCGAGTCATAACCAGGGACAAGAAGTACAGAGTCTCCCAGAAAAGTCACTGCATGAAATCCAAGCACCCATTACCAAATGATGCTTCCCCCCCTTCTCTTAAGGAAACAAGATTTTCCTTTCCAAGATCTTTTCTACTTTGTACACGTGAAAGCTGTAACAGATGCAGGTTATTTTTTGCTCCCAAGTGTGAATCACGTTTCATGGCTCCTCACCTCTGCAGGGACACCTCTGCCCAGGCCCCTGGGGTGAGAGCCCAGCCCAGCCCAGCGCTGCCACAGAGACTCCAGCTCGAGCAAACAGCTCTTGGGGACCCACCCCCCCATCAAATCTCCAGCACAGCCAGCACCCCGATCCACAGAGGGACCAAGAGCTGCTTGGACAACAGGAGAAATGGACCCTGAGGATGCCAAGGGGGGAACACGAGCAGGAAAGACAAAGAGAAAGCTGCCAGCTCCCAGGAGCAGCACATTCCGAGAACGAGAGCAAGACCCTCGCTCGGCAGCTCTCAAGCCAGTTCCCTTTCCTTTACCATCCTCACAGCACTTCCTACATCAGCAGAACAGAGACAGAAAGCCACCAGCTGGGACTGGCCACACGTTCCCTCCCCAGGACATCCCCAGCCTGCAGATCCGAGGGGCTGCTCTCTCCCTCTTCATGCACTCCCTGGTAATGGAACTGGGCAGATGGATCCCAAAGCCCGGGAAGGGAGAACACGTACACCCCCTTCTCCTTGTTACTGATGAGTTCATACACCTTCCAGCTACAGCAGGTCCTTACAGCAGGGCCAGAAAGCCCCTTTGTGCCACGGGCTGACAGGCAGCCAGGGCACATGGAGCTCATCTTCCAGGCACATCCTCAGCACTCCAGCCTTCCAATGCCCACAGTGTATTGATATTTTCTGTTAACCTGCAGCACCAGCCCTGTTCCTGGGCTGCCTGTGCACAGACCTCTCCTGCCCACACTGAAAGGCTTTCTGGCTTGGGAGAGAGAAGTTGGCCCAGGAAGTCTTCAGATGCACACGAGGATAAGGAGGGGATTGCATACAAGGATAAGAAGCAGATTAGCAGGCAATTAAGTGGCATTTGTGGTATCCATTAGTATTTCAAGATACAAAGAGTCAGTTTCTGCTAACTTCCTGCCAAAAGTCACAAGTAATGAGCTAATTAACAATCTAATTATTGCAAATGCCCTAGAAAGAAATCAGGGCACAGGTGAAAACCTACTTAGAGTGAGCACAGCAGCAGGAACAGCTGAGAACTCAGGCAGGCATGTGCCTCAACTGCATTTCCAGCCATCCCACGGAACAACTTGGTAAAATACTCAGGGAAGTTGTGATAAAGTTGAATTAAAGCTCCATTCAGTAAAGGGGGAGCTAGACCCCAACATCAGAGCTTACTGCCAGCCCTGTGGGGCTGAAGAACCCCTAAACAAAAGCCAGCCCTGGGGGTTTGTGCTTCCACATCAGCATTTACCGAGTCCAACAGCAGCTGCAGCACAACCTGTGGGGCGCAACCCCAAAGCTGGTGGTACCCACATGACCCAGTGCACCCAGGGCTCTGGTGGAACAGCCTGACCCCCTGGCACCATGCCAGCCCTGGCACCCCAAGTGCTGCCTCCCACCACAGGAGAGCTGCCCCCCGGGGGGGCTGTGATCCTGATCCCAGAGCAGATGGCAGGAGGGAGTGACTTCTCGTGCTTCCAAACCCGGGAGTGTTCTGCAAGGAGACACAGTGTGTCCTCCACCAAGGGGCACCAGCTGCTCCGTGCCCCCACTGAGATGGGCATCACCCCCACAGCTGCCCCACCAACGGGAGCACTTTAACCTGGGCACCTCAGCACCTCACAGAAGGGGTGACTGAAAATCCACAGGTCACTCATTGTAGGAAAGGAAGGACTGGGCTGTTCTACAGACCCAAATCTACAAAATCTCCTATTGCACAGTAAGGAGGTTTTCATGTCTGTAATACCAGAACAACCTGGAAAGTGGTTTTCTTAAGGCAGAACAGGATGTCACAGACCAGCCACACACCCCTGGAGACATCACTGAGCACTCCTGGAAATGCTACTGGTGTCACTGCAGCCTCACAAGGGCTCCTGCCCCACGACCCAGGGACAGGACTGCTCTGCCTGACATCTACTAGTGGGGGGAAGACCCTTCACCTGTGCATTGGCAACTCTGAGACCACCTTCAGGGACCCACCCACTGGCCTTGCACCGAGGACTGATTTGATACTGGTTACAAACATGTAAGGATAAACCTTGAAGCAAGAGCACAGCTCCAGGTTTGGATAATAGTTCCTGACAGCTGGATGAGACTTGGAAAGGCTCCAGCTATCCAGCCCTGGATGTTATAGGTAGGACTGAGCAAAGCTCTAGAAATAATGCAGGAAAACCCTGCCCTGCTAACACATGGTCCCCTCCAGCTTCTCCAGCACACTCCAAATTTCAGGGACATTGTGTCTGCACAAATAAGCCTGCACTGTAAGGAAAGCCAGGGAATGAACAGCCAGGTAAGGCTAGGAAGAGCCACAACAGAGATACAAGCTGCACAAAACTCCTCTGAGTAACATGACTGAACTGCCCATGTGTGAAACCTCAGGTACCAGGGGAAGCTGTGACCTTGAGAAACAGCCCTAGGACATGTTTTAGTCTCCATATCTGCTTTCCACTGCTTGCCAACACCTGCCCAGGCCTTCGGGTGGGGGTTTGGGAGGCAGCAGGGAGATGGCTTTGGTATTTTAAGGTTATACTCCTAGGGCAAGTGTTAAGGATGAGTACCAGCATCATTTAAATTGGATTAGACTTACACTGCTTGTACAAGCATCTGCAGAGATGCTCCTGAGAGCACCCAAGACAGAGCCCTCCTGCCTGCAGGTACAGCTGCCCTCGAGATCCAGACCCACCACAGCACCCCGAGCCTGGGCTCTGTGCCACACCACCACCCAGACAGCTGCCAGGAGGAGCAGTTCTGGAGATATTAGTGCTCTACAGCCAGTTTGTTTTCATGCCAAATACCTCCACCTGGGATTCAGCCACCCACCAAAATAAAACTCCATCCCAAATATTCACAAGAGCAAAATTTCACTGCCAGCAGCTGCAAGCACCAGCCCCATCTGAACCCCACAGCCAGACCTGGACCCTACACAGGTGGGACCCATAGGGCAGGATGAGCTGCAGGCAGGAACAGCCCACAGCTGGGCTGGCAACGAGAGCAACCAGATACCGCCTGGGTAATTCATCCGAATTTCCCGAGAGAACATCACCAATCCCTAAAGAGCCCCTCCAGAATCCCAGCATTATCAGAACAAAGAATTCTGGTCGTAGTAACCCAGCTACTGCATCATATTTTGTTGTAAAGCCTCATTTCTCTCCCCAGCAACACAACTAAGCCATTCAAGTCCTTGCGGGCTGCGCAATTCCAGCCCTGGAGGAGCCCTCACCCAGCCCGTTTGCCAGCCAAACACATGTTTTCCTGTTAAGTTCATTAAAAACCAAGTTCCCTCTGCCTTTTTCGGGGGATTTCGCTGAAGTCCTGGGCGCTTATCTCTGGAAACGAAACCCGACCGGCTTAAAGGCAGCGACCAGTTGCTCGGTTGATTAAAAAAATGACTAAGCTGCTTCCCCAGCTCCGCGGGGATGCTCGGGGACGGTGCCGCGGGGATGCTGCTCGGGTTCCGCGGGGATATTCAGGGCCGGTCCCGGGGGACGGACACGGTGTGCGGATCCCCCCGCCCCCCGGCACGGCGACACTCACCTTGACACTGGAAGCCCTGCTTGCCGAAGCCCCTGCGGAGAGAGAGGCGGAGTGAGACACTGGCACCGCAACCCCCCTGCCCGGAGCGGCCGGCGGGAGCAGGGACCGGGCGGGACCGGGATGGGATGCGGGGGGACGAGGGGACACGGGACGGGAGCGGAAGGGGTGCCCGGAGGCGGGCGAGGGTGAGCTCCAGCGGGCTGGGCGAGGACGGGCGTCCCGGAGCGGGATGGGAGGTCCCGGGGCGTGCGGGAGGTCCTGGGGGGGGCTCACCAGGATGAAGTCGGTGCAGTGGCTGCAGGAAGGTGGGCTGCTTGAAGAACCGCGCCGTGAACTTGTGGTTCTTCACCTCGTGCACGTTCTTCTGCCGCAGGGCGCCCTTGCGGGCGAAGCGCACCGGGCCCTCCTCGCCCTCGGGGGCCGGCGCTGCCGGCGGCTCGGCCATGCTGTGCGGGGCCGCCGGCCGGCCCGGCCCGGCCCGGCTCGGCTGGGTTGGGCTGTGCGGGGCTCGGTGCCCGCCGGGCCCGCTGCCGCTCCGTGCCGCTCCCGCAGCCGGCGGGGAGGCTCCGACACCGCCCGGGCGGCCCCGCCCCCTCATCTACATTACGGCGCCCGCCCCGCCCCTCATCTGCATCCCAGGCCACGCCCCTTAACGCTTTCTACATGACAAGCCCCGCCCCCCGTCCGGCCGTGGCCCGCCCCCCGTGCTTTGCATGTCATTTGCGTGGCGCCCCTCGCGGGGCGCAGTGGGGCGGGGCCTAGCCCGCCGCCTCATTTGCATACAGCATCTGCATCCCCGCGATGATGCTGCCCCGGCCCCGCGGGGACCGCGGCGGGACCACGGCCCCAGCCCGGCCGGGCAGGGACACCGTGAGCTCACGCTGCCCGCGCAGACAGCGCCGGAGCCCGCAGGAGTCAGCGGGAGACAGACACGCAATAACAATGGCGGTAATAACGACGGTAACAAGAACAGCAAAAACAACAATAAAGCCAGGGAAGTCCCGACTTCGTGCCAGTTGTGGTGGCACCTGCCCGACACCCACCGCAGATACCCACCCCAGTACCCACGGCAGGGCTGGCAGTGACAATGACAGGTGTTCCCTGACTCACTCAGGAGTCCCACACCTCCCGCTGCTGAGGCCAGAATTATTTTTTTTCTACCTTGATTTTCTGCACAACACGAGTCAGCAGCAGGGGCAGCAAGTCCGGAGGGGATCCAGGCAGGGGCTCAGACACAGCGGAGGGGCATGGCTCCATGCCAGGCCGGGCACTGGAATGACCATGGCTTGGGGCAGCAGGACCATGGCCATGAGCAGCCCATGCAGGGCCACGCTCCCAGGGCTCACACATGGGCACAGGGACACAAAGCTGACCAGCTCAGTGGTCCCCTCAGAATAATTTTTTAAACTTACAGTTGGAATAATGATCTTCTTTTACCCAACCCACTGCAAACACCTCAGCTGGCTGGCATGGAGGAATTTTCCAACCACAGCCACCATTCGTCTCTCTCTCACTCCCTGCCAGCACTAACGGACATGGAAAATCAGATCCATCAGTCTCCTCTGACATCCAGGTTTCCCTGTGCCCACCTCGTGCTGCATCATCCTGGTCTGAGCACTGAGGAAATAAGAATTCAAATCAAAACAGGAGACATCTTCAATGGAAGCATAACCACAAAAATAATTCCATGAACAACAGATCTTTCTAAAGTCTCATTTGTGGGATTTAATTCTGGCTCTGCAGCCACTTGATCCTTTCCCTTTGGGGCCCAAGACCATCCCTGCTCTGCTGGGATCCATCCTACGTGCTCTTTCTCTGAAGAAAGCCCCTCTCCCTCCATGGAATTAAATGCCCAGGAGGCTTTCTCAAAATAGGCCCAGGGCTGTTATTATGTTGCTGCTTTAAATGGTTCATTACAGTAATAACACGTGGCCGACCTGTCCTGCTGATGTCACCCTGCTAGAAACAGGCAGGCTGGTACCAGCTCCCAGCACCTGATTTTCCTGCTAAGAAGGAGAAATAAATTGCAGGCATCCCTCCTCGTGCTGTGCTCGTGTCGGGAGGGAGTGAAGGGAAGGTTCCTGGCGTGCCGAGAGCGTGGGGGCTGCAGGGGATGCTTTCTGTGCCCATCACAGTGCCAGCCCTGTGCGGGGTCCCCACTGCCCCGGGAGCCCCATCCCCTGCGGGCTCACACACAGAAACCTGCGCAGCAGAAACAACTCTCCTGCCTGGAAAGGAACCGGAGCAATAATGGAAATAATAACGGGGCGTTTGGACTCCTGCCCCGTGTGCAGGTGTGTTACCCTCAGTGCTGCTGCACTGCTCGTGTAGCCACACCAGGCTGAATTCTAATTGTAAACTCTGGGCTTTGCCTGTTTCTCCTTTGTTGTTCTTTTACTGCATGTTCCCATTTCCCTGCATAGCTGCTGTGTGTGGAATCCAGAGAATATGGCTTTAGTTTGCCCCTATGAGTATAAATAATCATGATAATAATGCACAAACTTTTGTCACTGCTGGGCCAAGGAGTACAAAAGCCAGATACCAGTTCCTGCTCTCAGGGGATTGCTTTCTTCTTTGCTTAGTTTACATCATATTACCTTATTTTACCCTTTTCATTACTTAGTGCACTCTGAGTCATGTCGTATTAAAGGCAGGAGTTTCATGGCCGTGTTAATTTTCACGGAAGCTGAGGATCCAGATCCCCTCAGCACTTTGAAATGTTGGGATGAACATCCCAGCAGCTTCTTCCTCTAAGGAAACTGTTATATTTATTAATGCAAGTGAAGTCCCCACAGGTGTGACGAGGGACTAACACAAACAACCCTGAACTGTCACTCTCAGGGGAGCACAGTGGTGGAGCAGAGGGGAAATCAGCCCAGTTCATTCCCGTTTCCATAAAAGTGCAGGTTCTGGTCCTGTTTTCCCCTCCATCTATTCAGGAGGGTACCAAAACCCAGCCGGTGGTGTGGGCAAATGGTGACCCCACTCCTTGCCACGCAGGGCTCTCCACGGAGCTGTCAAATCCAGGCTCGCCTTTCCCGGTGGATCTGCAGCCTCCCTCCGCTGCGGGGGGCGGGAGAGCAGCCCCACTCCGCGGGAGACAGCGGGTGCAGGAGCAGACTCCCAGAGAGACATGATTCACATCCTGAGGAAGGGACCTCATCCTCCCACCCGGCAGCGAGGAGCTGCTCTGGGGAAGGGAAGGAGCCGAGCGCCGCAGGGCTGGGCTGGGGAATGTGGGAGCAGAGCCCAGCATGAGGCTGCAGGGCCGGGGGGAAGGAGACCAGTAACACAAGCCCCTTCCAGCGAAATCCCCCAGCCCGGCTCACAATCCCCAGGGGTTCAGGTCAGGGACCCGCTGCCATTGCAGGATCCAGCTCCAGCCCCTCAGCTTCGCTTCACGCTGGGTGAGCCCACACTGGTGAGAGTCAGCCAGCCCCAAAGCTCGGCAAAGAGACAGAATCCCCCAAATCCCCCAAACCAAGGCGAATTCTCCCCATTTCCTAGGCAAGCTCTGCCTCCACACGAGCAGGAACCCCTGCAGCGGCGGGTGTGGGAGCACAGCGAGCGCCTGCAGCCTCCAGCCTCCTGCTGATGTGGGGATGCTGCTTCCCTGGTGCCCACACTGGCTTCCTCTAAAGAACTCAAAGAAGCTGGAGAAGAAATTTGGCTCTTTATTTTCAGCTTTCTTTACTTCGGGACCTAAATCCACCACAGGAAACAGGTGGAGGAAGAGCCCGACTCTAATTAGATATAAAGGTGTCTCAGCAGCCTCCACATCCGTTTGTGGATGTCCTCTTGCCCCCACTCCACATGCCAGGAGGGCCAAGGCCAGGAGAGGGGTCCTGGAGCAGGAACAGGGATACTGGAATAGGAACAGGGACCCTGGATGTGGGACAGGGCACCATGGAGCAGGAATAGGGATCATCTTGGGAGGAAAACCCTGGTTCCACCAAACTTCGGAGGAGCTTCTCACTGCCCACAGCAGGCAACTCTCAGAGGCTGCCCAGGGGGCCCCGGAGATCATGGGACAAAGAGTCTGGGGGCAGAGACACAGCTGGAGCTGCAGTCTGGGACATCCTGGTTCGGGGCAGCACTGGCCCCACTGGGCACCCACTGGGGGAGAGGGTTCTGCTCTGGGTCCCATGGGGACACTGGGGACAGAAGAGGTGACAGGCAGCCCCCCCCCTCCCCCCCCCCCCCGCAGCAGGGTGACATCAGCTGCGCTGGTTTTTCCCTTTCTGCTTTCACAGTTTTCCATGTTCCACGGCCTCCGTGCAGCGAGGATGCAGCGGGAGAGAGATGCTGCACTCGTGTGAGGAGAGACCCAGCTCCCCACCCACCGGCGGCAGGAGATCCTCCACAGCAGCCGCTGGGGAGAGGAAGCCCAAGTGTTGGTGCGTGAGCTCACAGAGAGCTCAGGAGGGGCCGGGGAGCGCGGGAGGAGCCGCAGAGGCAGGGGCAGGGCACGGCCGGAGCGGCCCCTGCTCCACTCTCGGATGCAGGAATCCATCGTTTCCATTTCCCTTCTCCTGACTGTTCCAGCAGCCTTGTTTCACCCGGCAGCACGGATGAAGAACAGTTGGCAGCTCTGGGATGCAGGGATGTGATGGAGAGGGATCAAACCGGGCTGTCACGGGGGCATCGGGATGGTGGTGGAGCTGCCATGGGGCACGGTGGGCTCCAGCTGGCCATGGCCCCCCAGACCACCTCTGCTCACCACGGGGGTCAAACTGAGGAAGCAGAGGCAGCCAGGTGTGTTGGGAAGAGAGGAGGAAACCTGGGCAAAGCAAACAAAGGAATGTCAGCCCTGATGGCCCCCTGAGAGCAGGTGACAGCGGCTGGCAGAGCTGGCACAGGCTGACCCTCCACCCAGGGGCAGGAGGGCACGAGCAGGTGAAGGGGCTGCAGTAAGTGGTTAACAGGGCTCTATCTCCCCCAGCCCACCCGTGTGGGGCAGGGCAGGCAGGATGGCATCTCCCCTTTGCACCAGGGAACACCATTTCCTGCCGAAGCAGAGCTCGTCCCCTGTTTCCAGGCTCCCAGACAGTCTGTGCTCCTTTGCCCAGGATTCATGGACACCCAGGAGCAAGCTGGGGAGCAAGGAAGTCCTGGGGATGCAGTTCCCGGGCTGTGAGGGGCAGCAGGGCTGTGTCAAAGCAGTCAGCCTGTTCCCAGCTCAGCACACAGACCTGCAGTGCCTGGTGCTGGGGGCTTGTGTAAATACATCCCTGTTCTTCAGAGTCAACAGCATTTCTCCCTCCTTCCTCAAGGCAGAGCTCGCTGCAGATGAATAAATGAGATGAGGAGCTTGTGTTGTTCACTGCCCAGTGGTTGTACACCCTCTGCCCCCTCTGGTGAGGGGCACAGGCACCAACCCTGCCCAAAAGCTGCAGACCCTGAATTTCCCACCCTGTGTGCTCAGGAAGCAGAGGCACATCGGGT